TATTCATTTGTCCAAAATTTACTAAGGAATATTTGTATTCCTTTTGTAATGGTTTCAAGAATCCTACATATTTTTTTTTAGTGTTACATTTAGGAAAAGTACACTGTAGATTTTTTTGTGTTTTACATTAAAGTGTTACACTAAAAAGTTGTGTGTGTTACACTAGAGTGTTACACTAATGAATTTTTTTTAATATTATATTAGAGTATTACGTTTGGAAAAATTACACTAATAAATTCTTTTATGTGTTATATTAGAGTATTACACTAAGAATTTTTTTTTTGTATTACATTAGAATGTTACACTAAGGAATTTTTATGGAGTATTATATTTGAGTGTTACGTTTGAAAAAAGTACACTAAGGAGTATTTTTTTTTTTTTGTGTTACATTAAGATGTTACACTATTTTTTTTTTCAGTGTTACATTTGAGTATTATATTAAAGTATTACAGTTTAAAATTATATATTTGGCTAAAGCTTACTAAATAGTTTTTATACTGCTTTAGAAATGTTTGAAGAATCTTATATTTCAAGTCATTTTTGTACTAATTTGAAAATGTTTTCCAAATAAAAAAGATTTTTATATAAAAATTAATCTAAATTTGATTCTCATGCATTGTGTACTTTACCTTTATAGCACGAAAGAAAAAAAGTAGAAAGAAACGTAATAGAAATAAGGGTATGACTGCAAATCTAATTTTTGAATAATATATTAAATTTGCCTTTTCAAAATCAATTGGACTAATTGGTCTATAAGAAAATCCTTAGGACTAAATGGATCACTATTGCTCAAGATAGAATTTATAGATAATTTTTTCATAATTTAATTATATTCTTTATTTTACCTTTTAAATTTGGGTTAAATTATAAAGAAATAAAAAAAAAAATACAATTCTTATTGGGGTTTTGGATAAAAACGGCATACAAACTCTAATTGCAAGTATAATAACGAAAGAAAGCATAAATTTTATTTTTATGTTTTTGTAATTACACACAATATTGAATGGTAAAATTAGATATGTAATTAAATTATTTGATAATATTAATATTTTATGCTATTTTTTACACAAACTAATAGAAGAGGGAGTCTATAATAAAAAGCTAAATCTCAAGAGAGGTTTATGTCATTTTAAAAATCTTAAGGGTGTGTTTGTTTTGAAGGATTAGGATGTAGGATTGGACTATTAGTTCTACCGGAATAATAGTTCATTGTTTGTTTGAAAATTTTTGCCCCAGACTAATAGTCCGACTATTAGCCCCACAAATATGGGACTATCCTATCCCATGGGGAGATGAGATTATTTCCATGGGATTGGTATCCCATGGGATTAGGTTCTGAAATGTCCATTTTACCCTATGCTATTACTTAGTAAACAATTAAAAAAAGATAAAATAGTCTTTTGAATATTTATAAATTATTTTTTTAGTGTTGTTAATTTAAAATTATACATTAAATAAAAAATTTAAATTATAAATTATAAATTAATTAAAAATAATAAATTAAAAATTATGGCCTTATAAATTAAATTTTTTTAGTGTTGTTAAAAAATTAAATTTACATATTAAATAAAATTATTTTTTTAGTGTTGTTAATTTAAAAATAATAAATTATAAATTATGACCTTATAAATTAAATTTTTTTAGTGCTGTTGAAAATTTAATTTATATATTAAATAAAATTATTTTTTATTGTCGTTAATTTAAAATTATATATTAAATAAAAAATATAAATTATAAATTATAAATTTAATTTAATTGAAAATAATAAATTAAAAATTATGGCCTTATAAATTAAATTTTTTTAGTGTTGTTAAATTATAAATTATAGATTACAAATTTAAAATTATATATTAAATAAAAATTATAAATTACAAGGGTAAAATAGTCTTTTGAACATTATCCTTATCCAGTCTGTCTAGCCAAACATTGGATTTACTAAAAATAGTCTAATTCAGACATCTAATTCCATAACTAAACAAATATAGGATACAAATCTAATCCAACCAAATAGTCCGGGGACAATGTATGTCGAAACTAACAGTCTGATGAATTACAATCCTCTCTTATCCAATCCATCCAAACAAACATATCCTAAAGACGTGAGTATAGTTAAAAATTAAACTTCAAGAGATGTTTCTATCATTTCAGAAACCTGATGGGAGGTTTCTACATTTCATTAAACATAAGGGGGAGATCGGTCCATTTGAAAACGGAATCTCAAGGAAGGTTTGAGTCATTTCAAAAACAGTGGGGAAGGTTTATATAATTCCATTAAACTTAAGAAAGATAAGTGTAAAAAAGAAATAAATTACACTCACTTTTCTTAAAGTTAAAAGAAAATATAATTTGTCAAGTATAATTCATCAATAATCCGTTAGTTATATAAATAAATAAAGGGGAATTTTACAATACACACTCATTATCGTATGTACTTTTAAATATGATATTTTTTTTTTAAGACCATCTCCAATGGTGAATCAAATTTTTAATCAAATTTAAGTAAAAAAAAAGCTAATTTTCTCAATCTGATATTTCTTCCTTCAACCGTGCATCAAAAGGAGAGGGTCGATTGGTAAGGCAATTTTTTTTTGGACCTTTTTGAACCTTTTTGACCGGTTTGAATCTACCTATTTGAAAGGGAACCGGTCGACCGATTGGTCTCCTCCAACGGTTACACACAGTAAAGTAATGAAATCTGTACCCTGTTCTCACTTTGATGAATTTTTTGGTGAATTCTCATTTTGATACCAATTTGCTGAAACCATTGGAGCTCCAAAAATTGACTTTTTCACCAAAATTTAAATCTGATGCCAGGTTTGGTTCACCGTTGGAGATACTCTAAGACCATCTCCAACGGTGAACCAAATTTTTCATCAAATTTGAGTAAAAAAAAGCTAATTTTCTCAATTTGATATTTCTTCCTCCAACTGTGCATCAAAAGGGGAGGGTCGACCGATAAGGCAATTTTTTTTTTTTTTTTTTTTTTGATGAATTTTTTGGTGAATTCTCATTTTGATACCAATTTGCTGAAACCATTGGAGCTCCAAAAATGACTTTTTCACCAAAAATTTAAATCTGATGCCAGGTTTGGTTCACCGTTGGAGATACTCTAAGACCATCTCTAACGGTGAACCAAATTTTTCATCAAATTTGAGTAAAAAAAAGCTAATTTTCTCAATCTGATATTTCTTCCTCCAACTGTGCATCAAAAGGGGAGGGTCGACCGATAAGGCAATTTTTTTTTTTTTTTTTTTTTATACTTGTTTGAACCTTTTTGACCGGTTTGAACTTACCTATTTGAAAGGGAACGGGTCAACAGGTTGGTTTCCTCCAACGGTCACGCACAGTAAAGTAGCGAAATCTGTACCCTGTTCTCACTTTTATGAATTTTTTGGTGAATTCTCATTTTGATACTAATTTACTGAAACCATTAGAGCTCCAAAAAGTGACTTTTTCACCAAAATTTAAATCTGATGTCAGGTTTGGTTCACCGTTGGAGATGCTCTAAGTAATGACCAATTTTCTTATTTAGTGGGTGTTTGGGAAGTTGCTATTTTAGTAGGCTATTTTAGTTTTTGACTATTTTAGAATGTTAAAATTTTTGTGTTTGGGAAGATAGTTGAATTTTTTTATAGTTGGATGTGATGTTTGTGGGAGAAAAAATAAAATGATTATGGGTTGATGTGACATTTTGTCTTATTGACTATTTTAACTTATTTTGTCTATTAGTGCTATTTTAGCCCCAAAAAAACCCAAAAAAACTACTTTCCAAACACCCCTAGACATTATTTTGGGATATTTAGTTATGCACCATGTAGTATTTAATTATGATTTTTTCTAAAAAAAAATTCATGAATAAGAAAGTATGAAATTATGTCATTTTTCTTTTTTACTTATAAGGTACATATGGTATATAACCTCTGAAAAGTATGTGCCATAGTCTTTCTCATAAATAAATGATGTCATATCTTTTTCACTAAAATATATTTATCTGGATTGATTTCAGTATGGCAAGTTAAAGAGTAGGATGGACTATATTTATCTTAAAGATTCAGAAGAGATGAGCCTAATTTATCTTAAAAAAAAAAAAAAAAAGCCTCAGTGAGCCTACATTGAGTCCAAATCGATAATTCGAACAGTTCAATGTGTAGAACTTGTTGAGTAATTTATTTTTATAAAAAAATCACGTTGATCGAATATCAATAGCCACTTGATTAGTTCATATTTTTGTCAACGACAAATATGATTTTTAAAAAAATTATTAACAAAAATGTGATCTGATCAAGTAACTATCGATATTCGATCAATATAAATTTTTTTGTAACAATAAAATACTTGACTAAGGGGTCTTTTGGGAAGTGAGTTATAATCCATTTTTCAGATTATAACCCACTTCTCTCTCTCACAAAAAGTTGATTATAATCAACTTATAATTAGCTTTTAACCAAAAAACTAATTATAACCATTTTTTCAAAATAGTCCTAATTTTACATATTAATAGGCTTGTTTGGCATATACTATTTTAGTCCATCTTTTTATCTTTTTTGGGTCACATTAATCAATATCTTTTCTCTATTTTTTTACACATCTTTTTATAAAAATTTAAAAAGTACACTTATTTAGAATATCTCAAATCACCCCTAAATAATTTAAATTATCAAGACAAATTCTAAATAAATCCCAAATAGGCCAGACAGGACGGTCTAATTAAAGCTAGGTTTGGCATCTTTAAAAAAAACAAAAAAAATTAAAAAGTCACTGTCTTATTTAAGTCATATAACCTCTTTACAACATTAATTCAAACTCAACTCATATTTTATAAAAAGTCAAAAAATATATCGCCCATGTTGAGACAATCCAATGAGACAATGCCAGCAAGGGGTGAAAAAGATGGCATCACCCATGTTGCGTCACATCCACAACGTCACAAGATTAATGAAACCCACACTATTCAGCACCTTCCCTTGAGCTTCCTCTCATCATTCCTTCCTTTGATCTTCCTTCGATCTGCCCCTCTCTTTCCTCCTCATCCACACCAAATTAAAAACCCTCCATCCTCTTTCTCTCTCACTCTCCTCATCCACCCCTCTCTCTCTCTCTCCTTTCAAACATTTGAACTTTTGGATAAGAACAATCAACAAACAAATGGGTGGTGATGATACACTACTTTCCCCTGAAAACCCATGTACTGGTAGGAAAAGGTTGATATTAGAAGAGTTGATCAACGGCCGAGATTTGGCCACCCAACTTCAGATTCTACTTCAGAACCCATCTGCAGATCATGGGTCTGTCTCTGTTGAAGAGATTGGGGTCAAAATCTTGAGATCTTTCACTGACACTCTCTCTGTGTTGATGTCATGTAATGATTCCGGTGAGGTGTGTCAGATTCCGGCGAGTACTCTCAGCTCCGGTGATCAGACTTCTGTAGATTCCGGCGAGAGTAGTAAGAGGTCGCCGCCGGTGAAGGATCGGAGGGGTTGTTACAAGAGGAGGTAGATTACTAAATTAATACGAAGTAATGTGAATATTTTATTTTAAAATAAGATATTAAAATACACATGATGAATAAAATTAGATTTATTTATAATAATAATATTATCACATTATTATTGATTTTTTTTCTTATAAATTTTAAAGTATTCTTTTAACTATATATATATTAGCATGAACTTAAGATAAATAATTAAAATTTTATTTTAAAAATAAAATAGTACTAATTTTAAAATTTAAAAGAAAAAAAATTTGAAATCATGTGTATAAATAATTTTTTTTTTAAAATTTAAATTGTACTAAAGTCTTGTTTTAATTGTATTATTATATATATATATATATACATATATATATTTACATATCTATCAATATTATTGTCAACTCAGAGTGCTGGCTAGAGCAATTTTTTTTTTTAATTATTACTCCATTCGTCTCAATATGTTTGTTTATTTTGTATGTTTTCGTGTTTTAATCATGTGACTATATAATGTATTTTTGTAATAAAAAAGTAAATTCTAAATTCTCAATTAATTATTGTAAATAATTTTTTTAAATGGTTAAGAAATAAAATAAATAATATAGATGATTTTTTAAGATGTCTAAAATGGTGAAAATAGATTATTTATCTTCTTCTTTTTTTTTTATTCAAAATAAATAAATAAATAATTTGAGATGGATAAAGTATTACCATTAGACCCTGAGGGGTGGGTTCAGAGATTAGGGATCAGCCCCAAAATACTTTTATTTGGGTTCGATCCTTTATCGTCTCTCAGCGTGGTGTCCTTACACGGTGATGTGTCTTGGCCCGGGCTGGCAACAAGCCTCCGCGACCCTTTTTAATTTAAAAATAAAAAAAATAACTTCCATTTGGATTAATTGGGATTTAAAAACAAACTTTTTTTTTTTCCAATCATATTTTTCTTATTTCTATTATTATTTCTTAGTTATTTCACATAGATGTTGGTAAATTTGTAAATGATTTGGAATTATTCACTATGTATAAAGATGAAAATGGATCCTATTGGGAAACTCCTAGTGAATTGATGTTGTGCAATAGAAAGAATCCATCTGTCTCATTAGGCTTCTCTCTTAATAGCTTATTTCACTTTCATGTCACTGTCACAAGTGGAGTCCACCTCAAAAGGGGAATAAAAAAAGATGAATTTGGATTTTTTATTTTTATATTTTTTGTAAATATGTTTTACAATATTAAACTTTCTTGATTACAGAAAGATTTTAGATTCATGGACGGAAGTCTCACCCTCAACGGAAGATGGTCATGCATGGAGGAAATATGGACAAAAAGAGATCCTCAATGCCAAATTTCCAAGGTATCATTAAGAGATTTATTTTTATTTTTTTTAACTTAAAAAACTAAACAATATCTAAAATTATGAGTTTAAATTTTTAGGAAAACAAACATATTTTATCACGGATTCACTGATTTTATTCACTTCTAGGTGGATTTGAACAATAGACGTATTTTTCAAAAATTAGTTTCCAATATGTATAAGTTTATAATCAATTCACAATACATATAAAGTGATTCGTCTCCTATAAAGCTCATGATTTAAAAAAAATTAACGAATGCGACAACTCGTGATATCTTTACACTACAATTGATAACAATACGCCTTTCAATACTGCTATTTAAAACCGTGATAACAACTTATATATATCTTTTTTTGTGGTTGGCAGGAACTACTTTAGGTGCACACACAAGGTTGCTCGAGGCTGCAGAGCAACTAAGCAAGTCCAAAGAATCCAAGAGGACCCAAACATGTACCAAACCACATACTTTGGCCACCATACATGCAGAGCAACAATAACACTCGTTGATCCTTTACAAAACATTTCAGATTCTGATCATCCTCTGGATTCTTGTTTAATTAATTTTGAATCGAAGAGTCCAATCGAGCAATATCATCATCTCTCACGTTCACAATTCGCTTCGATAAATGAAGAATCGAAGGAATTAGAGGCTCAGAGTGATCGGTTGTCTGAGAATGTATCGTCATTGGACTCGGTTGTTGTGTGGCCTGAGCTAATGACTGGTTCTCATGGTTTGGACATGGAGTTGTTTATGAATCCTGTTGATTTTGACAGTTACTTCCATTTTGATGAGAGTGAGTTCATTTAGGCTTTCTAATTAAGAGTAAATTCTCATGTTTTGTGTACGTAATCATGTATAATTACCTAAAAAAAAAATGTAATCATGTATCCTACTTTAGGGAATGCAAATGTTTTTGATATTTTGCTTTTGTAACTTTATTTTGGTTTCTCTGTCCTTTTTTTTTTCACTTTCTTTTGGTGGGGTTGGGTTGGGGTCTTTAAAAAAGCAAACTTCTGTATGGATTTTTTGTTTTCCTGTTTTTTTTGTTCTTGAAACCAGAATAAATTGTTTTTAAGAAGACCCCTTTTTAAAAAA